GAAAACGTGCTGCATTATCTCACAAGACAAACAATTTACGAAAACATAATGCATTTTTGTCACAACACTTTGAAATAGCACGGAACTCAACGAAAATGTTTCAAGGAGGCGCGTGGCCAACCTGGCTATTTAGGTTATCGTTATTTAGGCTAATAAATACAAAAGATCCGTCACTTTTATATGTCCACTTGAAACATTCCCATTGTTTTTTGTTCTTTTTGTAAGTGCTGTGAGAAAATGCAGCGCGTTTTCATAAATTGTTTGTGTTGTGAGAAAATACAGCGCATTTTATTAATTTGTTTACATTGTGTAAAAGTTCAAATTTTTTTATGTGTATGTGTTAGGATTTGCCACATGCGCGCTTTAAATCCGATGTAAATCTTCCCTCATATTGCTTGCGTTTTTTGTAATTGCACGCATTTTCTTAAATTGCAGCATGTTGCGCTTTCTCAGCCACTGTAGTTGCCTTTATTTTAGGGAGAGAAATTAATCAATGAATGATTACATGTGTAAATCCATGTGAAGGAATTGGAGCTACTTGAGCTGTGGATTTCCTGGAAAAAGTTCAAATGTTTTTCATTCAATCAGAAAAAGCATTAAACAGTCTTCTAGTAAAACACTAGTTATTAAGTAATTTATTTACAGTATTTTTATCTTTAAAATTTGTCCTAAACTAAAACCATAATCATAAATGACACAAACAATTTTATGTGATTGTACAGGTAAATGTTTAAAGGTGATTGATAGATTGCATTTATCAGGGTATCTGCTAAGTCTTTAAAATGTCTTAATGTCTTAAATAAAAAAAATAATAAAAATAAAAAATGTAGGCCTAAAGTCTTAAATTCACTCAGTATTGGGTTGTAGGTCTTCATTTTCCTGACCATGTAAAGCTACCCAATCAGGCCAACACCGATTCAATCAAACATTCCATCTCAATAAAAGTTTTAGCAAAATTGTATTTATTTTCTCTATTTACCAATATAGCTTGATTTATCTTCCTTACAACATTTGTTTTTAATGTTTTTTTAATGTTAAAAGTATCTTGGCCATTAGAACTAAATCGTGGAAGTCTGAAATTTCATTCATAATAGTCTTAAAAAGGTCTTAAATTTGACACGATGAAACCTGTAGGAACCTCATTTATATAATATGGTAAATTGTTTTCTGATATTTTAATAGTGTAGCTACAAGTAGCTTGGGTAAGTGCAAAGTTTCTCTAGAAACAGTTGAACAGGTCCATTTCCAAGCCTAGGAATTGGCCCTAATGTGATAAGATTTTGGAAGAGATTTTTAGGAGTAATAAGCTCTCTGGAAGGCTTGTGAATATTAAGGCTCTCTTTTACAACCATACCTCAGTCTGTTGCCTCATTACAAACATGTGGCAAATTTCACAATGTACATGTTAAACTAACTAACTATACATTTAAACAGACTTCATGCCTCTTTGGGGTGGCACTGAATATATTTGTAATCTGTATGTCTCACATACTGATGAGGTGTGAACAATGTGTGCTTCACTGCTCTTTTAGTCAAAGTCTTTCCTGTTTTAAAAATAAGAGTTCCGCTTGCATAATAATTGTAATACAAGCTTAGATAAGCTTTAAAATAATTTACAACAATGATCATTCCACCACCCTATTTATAAGTTTTTAAGCAAGCAAACAAGTTAGCATGTTATTTTCAAGCAAGGATCTCTATAGTAAACTTTGTGTCCAATCAAACGCAGCCCTGGGATGTGCATATTGATGACGCAGTGTGGATCGTCAGAGTCTTGTGTTCAGATTGGCCTGTTTTTCCCCAACAGAATTTACATGAGCGTGAGGAAACAATTGTGTTTAAGGTTTACAGTATGTCATTTCCATGTACTGAACTCTTATAATTCAGCTATCCCCAGGTGTATCCAGATTTCCATTCTATGGCACCTTTAAATTATGATGTCCTTGTTGTTTGTCTGCCACCTTAATGCTAAAATGCTAAAATATTCATGGTCTGCCAGATAAAGCCTGAAGACCATGAGTCACTGTGTGGGCTAGAATCCATTTGGTTTCAGTGTTTGTGTGTGTGCCTCTGTATTTATGATCTAGTGTAAATTGTAGCCCTGTTAAGCTTTGGACTCAAAAAGCTTTTAGCCTCTGTGAGTGAGCTGCTGTGGTCAAAACAGTATAATGTGTAATTTAGCAGTGTTTAGTGTTTCCTGACAGCAGGTCCCTCTTCTGTGGAGGATCCTGGGCCCTCATGTGCACTTATTTGCCCCGAGAGGCAAGACTCTTTTCATCTGTTCAGTTATACAAACAGTAACACTATAGTGAGTCATCAGCCGTTCAAAGACAAGAGGATGATTTTTATTCTCACCCTGCATTTCTAACATCGTCCTCTTGGTCGTTTTATGTAGTTTGTGTGTTGTTTGGATTGTTTTACCTTGCCTGTTTACCCCGCCAGCATTTCAGAGGCCAGGAAGTGTTTCCTGATGAGCCACAAGGCCATTATTTTCTTACTGTTACATCACTAAAACAAATACAGAACTTGAAAAGAAAAAAAGACAAAACGGTCAGTGCAGAAAAGGATGTAATGTAAAGGAAGGGATGAAAAAAATGAAAGGATAGAGAGAGCTTTGGGTGATGAGTTGTACTGTATGCTCCATTTATAATGCTCAAATATTCAGATATCATATGAATCATCATAAAACAAAGATTCAATGCATTCATTTGACCACTGGTTGCTCTTTTTTTTCACATATTTCACAGGCTCCTTTTCCATATTACATTTCTAAATGTTGCAGGTGTTGATTTTGTGATTGAAGATTTGACCATCAAGTTGCTTTGCCACAGTTTATTTATCTCTTAGCATTAATGCTATTTACCTTTGATCATTTATTCATTCATTCACTTTCTTTTCGGCTTATTCCCTTTATTAATCTGGGGTCGCCACAGCGAAATGTAAAAATGAACTGTTACTTCGATTCCTTTGATTGTTGTACATTTTTGTTTACTTATTGCATATACTTGCAAAGACTTTTATTGTGTATTATTCCATGCCAAATTTACCTAATTAATTATAATAATTATAATTCCTTTCATTTATGTAGCGCTATTCTGGAAACTCGGAGTGCTTTACACATTGGCGGAAATCTCCTCATCCACCACCAGTGTGCTGCATCCACCTAGATGATGCGATAGCAATCGTATTGTGCCAGTCCGCACCCCACACACACTCCTATCAAGAGCCTGACCGGGCGCCCTGCTTCGCTTTAGTGGACGACCATGTGAGAGTGGCATAGAGCTAGCTACCAGCTGAATAACCCTAATTATGCATTATTGCTATAACCCCCAAACTCTAAGCACATTTTGTTAATACGCTTTATTAAATGTATGGTTGGACTGTAAAGTATTGGACAAAATACAAAATAAATACAACCATACAAATACAATAATTTAACAAATACAAAACAAATACAATTTTAGGTGTACATTAGTTTTTCTGAATTGTTCCTATTGTAGTAGATGCTGTAAAGGTACATTCAACACCATGAAACTAGGCTTTTTAAACTATTCATCAGCTACTCTGCATTGCCTTATCATTGACGAAGTTTCTCTTTCTTTTTTTGAACCATCTATTTTACCAAATGAGATCATTCACATTGCTGCGGTGGCATATTCTGGTTTAAAATTGCAGTGTATTGCTCTTCGCCAAAATCATCATCATCATCATCATCATTATTTTTCTGTATAAAATAAACATAAAAATTAGTTTTTCAGTGTTTCACAGTTTTTTTTATTTTACTTTGACCTGTTTTTCACAGTATATGTTATAATCTGTATTTGTTAACTTTAGCCCCTTCAGACCTGAATTATGTTCTAAGTTTAAGAAAAACATAAAAGTACATTTTCTCAGTTATTAAGGCTTTCATAAATCAGACTAAATGAAGATAATTTAAATGTCAACATTCTTTAATATTCTTCTATATTACTTTTTTGTACATTTCAGTGAACATCTGAGCAAAACACAGGAGTACTTCAAAAAACAAGTATAGCAACATGAAATTAATGAATACAAATTGTTGATCTTTACTTAAAGTTTCTTCTGAACATTACAAACTTGAAAATTATAAAATTTAACTTCAATAACTTGAATACATTTTTACTTTGGTTTATAGACTGTATATTATTAGAACTCACTGTCCATTACATATAAAGAGCAGGCATATTTTCAAGAAATCCTGGTTTAAAGCTTGCAACTCTACAATAGGTTTTTAAAAATTTAATAGTCAAATGCAGTCCTCCTTTTGAAAAATTGTCAAACATGTCAATAAATGTGAATAAAACCACTGAAAATGTTGCTTACTCTGTGTTCGGAACAAAGTGCTGCCATCTCTTCAGCATAGTGGATATTTTTTAAATTAGAACAAGCAGAGCCTTATTGCCATTTGATTGGATGACAAATGTCTGATGTCATGGACAACAGGCTTTAAATTAGGGTAAAAACTACAGAAACAAGCAAAAAAGCATGATCTGACATGTGATGTCAATTGTAATGGCTGCAGGATCTTTATTTTTGAATAATTTTATTATCGGTGGTGCAGTGGGTAGCATTGTTGCCTTACAGCAAGAAGGTCGCTGGTTCGAGTCTCGGCTGGGTCAGTTGGTATTTCTGTGTGGAGTTTGCATGTTCTCCCCGTGTTCGTGTGGATTTCCTTCGGGTGCTCCAGTTTCCCCCATAAGTCCAACAAAATGCGCTATAGGTGAATTGGGTAAGCTAAATTATCCATAGTGTATGTATGTGATTGAGTGTATCGATGTTTCCCAGTGATAGGTTGCAGCTGGAAGGGCATCCACTGTGTAAAAAAATATGCTGGTTAAGTTGGCGGTTCATTCCGCTGTGGTGACCTTTGATTAATAAAGGAACTAAGCCGAAAAAAATGAGTGAATGAATGAGTTTTATCATCATCCGTTTTAAAATAATCAATTATTTATAACAAAAAATGTTTAAATTGTTTTTAGGCTAAGGCGTCAGCAGAACCCTGGCCTCTTTGGCAAAATGAGGACATCAGCTTCATCACGTTTTGGCCCTGAAGATGCAGACGGCCCTCCTAGCGACCCTGATGAAGATGAGGAAGAAGAACTGCAGCTCCAAATCCCCTGAACCCTTCACTGCAGACCTGGGAATGACTGAAGACTCACCGATCTCACTCGAGCATTTCACCTTCCCCTTCATTTCATCTCTCAGCGAAATCTAGAAGAGGACTTCACGACCCTCAGCAGACAGATAAACACAATCCTTTTTCAGTAGCCTATAATAAATGTGTGCCAGGGCCAAAGTACTGTCTGAAGCCTAAGAAAAACATTGCTGGTTCTAGTCCAAGTTGGCACATAGGTTATTGATAGACAAATATCAGACCCATTTATTTGACTTTTGAGGGTCCATTTGAAGCCTAGTGATTCCTATTATTCACATAAGCAGACACATGTGCTGGCACACATTGTAAACGCATTAGAGCGTCCTCAAACTTTCAGACATCAAAACCATCTTGAAACATTACATTTCATTTTAATCCCCCATCTGACCTCTAAAAGAAGCTGTTTATTCACACAGTTCTTCTTCATCAACCGTTTACATGCTCATTTCCCAACTTTATTCCTCATCACCTGGATTTTGATTTATTCTTGTCACCCATTCATTTCCACCGTTCCCATTTTACTCTTCCTATTCATTTTGATTTTCTATTTAATCTTTCGCCAGCCCTCCCACCCACCCCCATCCCTCAACAGCAACTCTCACATCAATATTCAAAACAACCCATTCAGAACATGATGATTATGTTCCTTGTGTCTGGGGAACATTTCATTTCTGCTGTGTTGTTACTGAAGAGGCAGGCGAGCGCTTTGGTTTTTGTTCTCGCCAGTATTCCTGCGTTAGTTGTCCCAAAGTTTTTTCTTGGTGACTATATTAATGTGTTTCGGTCTTGTTTTATATAGGAAGGAAGGGAGGGGGTGGGGGATCGTGGGTAGTTTGTAAACGAGTCTGTTGGATTCTTCTTAAATACATACAAGCATAATTGCTTCGCCCTTTTGCGTTCAACCTATAGAAAGGTGGCTGGTGCATGAGGGAATGTTTTAACAAATGGTCTGTTGATTTTAAAGAGATTTTTAAGCAATATAATACTGTATACGTCTGCAATGGGGACCAATCTTGACTCATCTTTTACTTGGACATTTGTATGGTCATATTAAAGTATTTATCAGATGTTTGTTTTTTACCTAAGTGGCCTGTATTGCAGTATTTTGTATTTGTTTGTGTTTGTATTTTATCTCTATAAATGTTAAATGTATATACAGTAAATACTGGCTGCGTAACCTTTATTTCCTGTCAGAGAGGTGGGATAGCGTTCACACTCTGTGCCAGCTTGTCCAACAGACAATACAAGTGATCACCTGGGGCCCTGTATTTAGTGAAGGGCCCCGTGGATACTTCCTTTCTTTATTTACTGTGACCATTTCTCAGTATGAGTAGTTGTTGCTGAAGTACTGTTGCTATTCTGAGTTCATTTCTTGCCAAGTAGTTTCAATTGCTGAATGTGTTCCTGCGCTGACCATGAGGTGACTTGTGTGAACCTGCAACAGACAGGATTCTGAATGCATTTCAAACAAACCAGCGAAAGTCAACAGAAAACCCTCGAAATGTATTACATTTGTATTTAGTAATTTAGTAGACACTTTTTTTCAGAGCGACTTAAAATTGAGAAGACATTCAGCAATTCAACAAGAAGAGGCAATACATTCAAAAAGTGCTAATTATACAAAGGTTTGTGTTCAGAAAATTAAGTACTAAAGTAACTAGGGGGAGTGTTTTTTTATATATAGAGAGAAGAGTGTTTCTACAGGTGGTTTGTCAGGCTCACTCATCTGTGTGAAGCACATTTCATAAATACACAATGTTTATATGTATATACAACCGTTTTGTCTGGTTCTCTAATATGATTGGCTGATAGCTGTGCGATAATCTGCAATAACAGCACTTGTATAGCCTCCTCGCCCTCCTGTGTTACTCCGCCTACATAGTGACAGCAGATCAATAAACTAACCACAGTTTAAATACTTGCAGCTGTTGGACACAAAATATACCTTTAATGCTTTTTGAGGCAAGAATATCGTTGTTCAGATTGCAACTGTGCAGTTTATTTGTAAGGACATAGTGGCTATTTTAAATATTTATCATTTTGTAGATGCAGCGCGTTGGAGTCCATCAGCCTGTCATACCAAGCAGAGCAAAGACGGTTGATGCTCTGCCACAAGATGGCGGCAGAGACAGCTTAATAAGTCCATAGAGAAAAAAACCTCAGCGTAATTTCCAGCTACAGCATATTAGATCATTATATAACAGGTAAGTGACATTCTAAGTCGATCTGTCTCTTTTGTATGTTGTATTGCTGTATCTATACCATAGTTATCTATTCGTGTTTGTTTTGCTTTTTTGCGTTTTCAGGGTTGATTATTGTTAGGGATGTAACAATTCACCATGAGTCGGTTGAAAATCGATTCAAGTATGTGACTATTCAAACCGGTTGAAATGTTAAATGAATCATGATACAAGTTTTGAACAGAGGGGGTGCTGTGATTACAGGCACAATCTTGCTTTACCTGTGCATCTGCGGCGAGCAAGACGTGAGGCGGCAGAGTAAAATGACAGCGTGCACCAGACAAACTGTGTGCAAAAAGACTTTTATATAAACTGAAACAGAACAATGAATATGATGCAAATAAACCATCAGCACAGTTGAAAACTACTGTTACAGACGTCTATATGCAAAAAAAAAAAAAAAAAAAAAAAAAACTATTAATAGGCCAAACCACGCATACCAAATAATTTGCTACTCTACTTGTTCTGACAGTGTTTGTCAGACTGAAAGAGAAAGGGGTTCTGTTACAGAAGCAAGTATTAGGTTATTTTACCCTCTCTTTTTCAAATTAGTTTATGCATATTTTAATTATTATAAATTATATATTTAAACCAGCCTGATCTCACAAAGAAACATAAGTATTTTATGTTTTGTCAATTTAGTGGCTAATTCGTCGTAGAATTTTAAAAAAGAGACTTGGCACCCAACCCCACCCCTAACACCAAACATCATTGGGTGATAAGCAAATCATACTAAATTGTGCAAATTAGATCGTACGAATTCATACGAATTACCCACTAAATCAAAAAGTTACAAATTGCTGTGAGATTGCAATGATTTAAACATGTTAAAGATTATCTCTTCTTAAATGCATCACACTAATAGTTATACTAATTAATTATACAAGTAATATTAATTATTCACCTTCATAATCATGTTTAACTTCTGTCTCTATCCTACAATATAATAAGTAATTCAGTAAATCAGTTGTTTTTATGCCAGTGGATATCCCCTGGAGCAGAGGGCCTATTGACCACTTCTGTACACACTGCTCTCTGGTTTAGGAAAGGCTTGCCTCTCAACACCAGCCATCTCTGTCCACAGTGAAAGAGTTTTTTCATCAGCAGGGAACATAGTAAAGGTACAAAGCCCTCAGCTTATGCCAGAATACATAGATAAGCTGATATTTCTTTTTACAAATGTAAAATTTCAGCACAGTCACAGCTTAAGTTTGTTCATATTAATGAGTCTTCTTTAGTTTGTATTTTTTATGGAATTTGTTTTTAAATAGTAATTTAGTTATAGCAGAAAATATATTATATTTTTGCAAAAATGCGCAGCATACAGGGCAAAATTAAATGGCTCTTCACCTTAAATTTGTTTTAGATCATTTTGTTAAAAAACCGTGACTGAATTGTAAATCATGAGAACTGAATCGTAAATCATATTGAATCGTGAGTCAGATGAATCATTACATCCCTAATTATTGTCATATCCTCATTGCAACAAAGAAATACTGGGAAATGTCTCTAGACTGATGGCGTTTTACATTGTTCAGCCTTAAAATCTTAAAATGTGAGCAAAATCAGCTGTTTTGTCATCACTTTAGATATTAGGCAAGAGAATCATTCAAAAAGTAGCTCTAAAGTGACATTTGTGAAGTAGCAGTGGTTTCTGCTTTTCTGACGTCAGCTATTGATGTGAATGAATGGTGGAAGAAAATAGTTCCTCTGAGAAAAAGGGTTTTTAAACTCTCCGTGTTTGATTTTCTTTCACGATTATGCCGTCAAACTGTTGTATACACGCAAGATCACACTTATGGCAGTGCCATATGGCTGAATATCATCACCGGTAGGACTCCAAGACCTGCACCCCACCAGTGCCGATATACAGCTGTAATGCCCTGCTACTCGTGTGATATTGTTCATGTAGAGTTACAGAGAAAAGAGTTTTGCCGGCAATTTTAAATTCGAATTGGCAGTTTATTTACAAAGCATGTCCGTCGGATGTAGAGTGTCAATCTAAGTTACGATGAGTTACATTCCGACCGGTTTTCTGACATGCTCAGGGGCACTCAATTTAAACCAATGCAAATAATCAGTAAAAGTTCCCACTTGGGCTGCTAATTCACTGGTATTTTTAAAGTGACAACTAAAACTTATCTCTTCCAAGATCACCTAAGCCCCTGTGAATAAAAGCAGGGCCTTTAATAGTAGGCTAATACTTTGTAAAAAAAAAAAAAAAAAAAAAAACATTAGATAAATGTTCATCATGATAAATTCTGATTAAAAAAAATTCACTGTTAGTTTATATTAATATTTTGTCTCCAGCGCTAAAGTGGAACTGAAGAGGCCGAGCGCACATGAAGAAGGAGCGGATTAGGTAACTATACAGGTTATCCCTGAGTGACTGGGTATCAATGAGATGCTGCAAGAAGCTCATTCCATATACGATTTTCTTCTTTATTTGTGGTGTAAGCACTTTGAGTTTATTACAAATCAGTGTATATATGACAAAACAAACCTTTAGAGATTAAAAGGCTTCCATTTCTCAAATTCCCAGAATGCACTGTGCTGTCTCTAGTCAGACATTTGAGCTGCAGTGCAGGCAGTAAGCGGGAGCTCCGTGCTCACCTCTCAGCCAAGAATACTCTTACGTGGGCCAGTTATTTTCAGATCAGCCACTGGATCGCATCTCTCTCTATAGGTGTTAAACGTGATTAATAATTCATTTTGTGTAGAATATATTAAATTTCAAATCCAAGGCCTGCATGTAAATGCTATTTTTATTTTGAAATGAAAATGTCACCCAAAAATATAAAGTAGGCTATAAATATGTAATTTAATTGTATTTTGTTTAGTTTTTTTAATCTAGATTTTATTGTATATTTTTTGCATATGTTTATTAAATTTTATCAAACGCACTCTCATTTGAATTATGCCTACTTACAGTATTTTGCAGTAGGCTAGGGCTTATTTTGTACTTGCCAATAATTGTAACATATTCAACATATGATTCATTTATACACTTCAATATAGAAATGGTCAATTAAAGTGGACCAAATTGTCATAATTTCGCCTTGGGCTGCCCCACAATCCTATGGGTCAGCACACTTGTTCAGTTCTCTTGGTTAGATTGGTCCAGACCAAAAACAGAAGATTAATTATACATTAACCACAGTGTTCACACTAACCGAACCTTAAAAAAAAAAACACTTATTTGACATATGTTTTGTAACACAACATACTAAACATTAAAAACAATGTGCATTTGGCTAAATATACCATAGTGTGTAAACAGAGAAAAAGCATGAAAAATTATGTCATGCAAGGAATTCTGGGAAAGTCAATGACAGTTATTCTCCATATACATTACAAGAAAGTGAATATACACTCACCGTTTTATTTGGTCATTCTCAGCCAATCATAGAAGCAACTCAATGCATGTAGACAAGGTCAAGACGATCTGCTGCAGTTCAAACTGAGCATCAGAATGGGAAAGAAAGGTGATTTAAGTAACTTTGAACGTGGCAAGGTTGTTGGTGCCGGACGGGCTGGTCTGAGTATTTCAGAAACTGATGATCTATTTTCACGCACAACCATCTCTAGAGTTTATAGAGAATGGTCCAAATAAGAGAAAATGTCCAGTGAGCAGCAGTTCTGTGGGCGCCAAATACCTTATTGATGCCAGAGGTCAGAGGAGAGTGGCCAGACTGGTTTGAGCTGATAGAAAGGAAACCATAAATCAAATAACCACTCGTTACATCCGAGCTATGCAGAAGAGCATCTCTGAACACACAACATGTTCAACCTTGTGGCAGATGAGCAGAACACACCGAGTGTCACTCCTGTCAGCTAAAAACAGGAAACTGAGGCTACAATTCACACAGGCTCACCAAAACTGGACAGTAGAAGATGGGAAAAACGTTGCCAGGTCTAATGAG